AACATTTAAATTAAAATAGAAAATGTCAGAAAATTTTGAATTTCTTTTATTAGGTCGGGCTTCGGGCTTTTCATCAGGGCCGGGCTCGGGCCCAAGTTGTAGGCCCGTTGGTTGGGCCRGGCTCGGGCTCGGGCCTAACAGTTTTCTGTTAATAAAGAGTCAAAGCCCGACCCAAGCCTGGCCCGGCCCGGCCCATGAACAGGTCTAATTGTGGTACCCTACAATTGTTGTGCTAAGGAATGAAACAAAATGTCAAATTTGCCCTCCACTATTCGTTAAATTTCATCCCTATTCTTATTCTCTTTCTCCTTCTTCCTCTTTTTATCCATCATCCATCTTCATCTCTGTTCATTGTCTTCTCACGGTGAACAGAGAACTACCACTGGCGTCATCGTAGCCTAAAATGATTGCGGCCGTTATGGACGAGATGCCAGTGGTCGGAGCAGTGGGGTTTCAGACCAGCTGGCATGGAATATCGGCTGAAAATCCAACTTCCGAAGTTGTTGGTATTTGCAGACAAGCAGCCAACGCTCTTGGCTTTGTGGTTTTTCTGATGCAGTTTCTCGGCGGGATGAAGACAAGAAAACACGCTTTCTCATCTCTTCATTGAAGGTTTTGGGGAAAACTACTATGTCAAAGAAGATGAACAGTTACTCAGCATGGACCGTTTCTACAATCGCCGTCGATGAAGGGCTCGTCGTGTCTGATTCATAATTTCCACCCCCACCTGTGCAAACGGAGCATCCGGAGCCCATACGAATCTTCATATAGGGGCTCTCGTTAGCATGGGCCTTCACGATTCGAATGAAGACTAACAAATCTGCCTGTGATGACCCCCAGTGCGCATTCCCCGTTAGGTCTCTCGGAGACCTATGATGACCCTCCTCACCATATTCGCCAAGTTTATATGCTGAAATCCGCTCGCTCTCACCAACAATAATCAAAAAGAAAACTGTAGCTTCTTGGCGGAGAAGCCATTGCTCGATCTATTTGTTGGACCCTTCAGTTTTGGGTTCCTCTGTTTCGTAAGTTCTCTTCCCCACTCTCTCTCTCTCGTTTCTTCTTGATCAAAAGGGAATCGAGAAATCCAGACAAAAGACATAAGCCCTCTCTCTCTCTCTCTCCATCACTTGTTCTCTCTCCACCCGCCCTACTTAGAGGCCTCAGCCCTGAGTCTCGCGCACTGCCATAGTTGCTCTGTTTCTGTTAAATATCAAAATTAGGTCTCTAATGTATAAGAGGCAAATATCTACTATCAGTTCATCAGTATTGAAGTTAATTTTTATTTACAAGCAAGTATTTGCTTTAATTGATTCCTACATCTAAGGATGAAATAATTTTGATATTTTAGAATGGTGGAGAGGGCAAGTCCTTGCTGCCATGCAGGTGATCTACTAACCCCTCTAGTGTCTACAGGTCTATCAGAGTGTTTTGGTGCAGATACTAAGATGTTGGACAACAAGAAAAACTATATGAATGACGAAAGTTTGGAGATGTGTATTTGCCTTAAGGATTGGTTGGATGGTGATGATAGATTACAAGACAAAGGAGGGCATGACATTACACCTAATGTTTTTCCTGAAACAAATGATGACAATCAAGGAGATGATTAGATGAAGATGTAGGTGGAGATGGAACTTGAAGGAAAATGATGAAATCAATATTTTTTATTTTTTTGTATACTCAAAATTTCATTATTTCAGTTATTGTATTTTTTCATTTTTAAAGTTATTGTAATTTTTTCAATTTCCTTTAATTTAGTTGTTATTTTTTCAATAATGTAAATTTTTATTTTCAATTCATAATTGTATTATATTTTTTAATATTTTATTTCATTTTCTATATTTTATTCATCCATTGTCCATTGAGCATTGTATTGTTCAAATTCAAGAAATAAAATTCCTATTTGTTTCTAATTTGTATTTTGTTAAGTATTTAAGTATTTTTTTTTAAATTTCTTTGTTAGATTTTTTTTTATCTTTTCAATTTGTTCCCAAAACTCAAAGGAATTATTGAATTCAGGAAAGTTAAGTATTTTAGCAAAACTAAAAAAAAAAATCATGTCAAAAAAAAAAAAAACTGTTTGGCCTAGTTCGACCTAGGTCCAAGGCCCAACCCATAGCCCAACTTGACACAGGTTAGTCCCACGGCACGGATCACAGCCTGCATAGCCCAGGCCCATGGAATGGCCCAGCCTGGCACAGGCTCAGGTCGTGGGCTATGTTGGGCCAATCCCCCGAATTATCCGAGGGGAGGTAAGCACGACCCAACTTGGCTTGCACTTTGCATGGGCCACATGCGAGCCGTGCCATGCCAGCCCAGCATTAAGATGGGTGCAGCTTTTTTGTTAAACATATCTTCTACAAGACAAACAAGAAGATCAAGAGCCACTTGAATGTTCTGCTTATTCTAGTTTATTTTATTTTATTTTATTTTAATTTTTGTGTTCCATCATCCATTTGAAGTAGTCATTTGATCAAACTATAAGCTGATTGGTTTGATTCATTTGTTTTAATTTCTCTCTGATCAGGGTTGAGAGTTTCATTGAACACCAAGATGCTTGTAATGTTGGGCGTCTCAAAACTGAGTTGCAGACACTACAAATGGCAGCCTGTCTCAAATAACTTCAAGCCTGAGCCCATTGAGTGACATAAATTTTAATGCAACTCATTGGCTTGGATTGAGAATGGCAATGGGACAGGGTGGGGATTCTTGTACCTGCTAGCGGGGGCATGGTTATCTCCATCCCTACGGGGATCTTCACTACCCATGATTTTTTATAATGTCAACCATTTTGTTTTTGTTTATTATTTTATTTAAAAAATTAAAAATAAAATAGTTAAAATTTACAACCCCATTAAAAAAATTCAAATATATTTAAACATATTCAACCATATTTTTAAAAATATTAATATACATATATGCATACATGCGTACATATATACAATATATTAATGGGGATCCCACGGAATAGAGCTAAAAATGCTCTTTCCATCCCTGTCAATGGGATGAAATTTTCTCATTTCCATCCCCATAGAGATTGGAAAAATGAAAAAAATTACCATCCCTAAATTTAACCAAAAATGAGCTTTAATATTTGGAATCTGTTCTACTGGGCTTGCAAATTTAAAGCATAAATGGATCACCACCAACTTTGACATATCTCTGTCTTTGAAAAGACAAAAAGTACCCCTGCTCATAAAAATTAATAAAAGGCTTCTGAATTCTGTTAATGTAGTTTTTGACAAAGGTGAGCTCTCTTTCTCAGAATTTAGATTTAGAAATTGACAAGTGATCCCATGAGCTGAGCCTCCTAAAATCTTCGGTCAGCCGCTGATTAACTTGGGTTGGTAAGGAGCTGAACTGAGCCCACGACCGAGTCCAAACGCATGGGCCATATTACCTATAAGCCCCAACTGAGCTGCACAAGATTCAGCCCAGCTAAATTTACTAGTCAACAACGCTAATTATCACGCTGGGTTGTCTAGAGGGACTATGAACATTTCTTCTTCCCTCTTTCTTTCTTGGACGATAAGTTTCTATGGTTCCGGAAAGGTATAGTACCAGATAAATCTTAACCAAGCATAAACCCACATGACGTGAATCGTGATGAATGGCAGTTGATTGGTTACCACTTGGAAGGTACGATACGATACCTTCCATACCTCTTTAGTAGCATATACAGTGAGATGTATCAATTTCCAACTTATAGCTGTTAACAAAACCAGAAAAATGAGAGTTGTATTTGTTTCTTCACAAATATAAATCAAGATTATGTCAGTTTTGAATGAGTTAACAAGCGACCAAAATAAGAGAGAGAGAGAAAGTCGTTATATATATATGTTATTTAATTGTTTTTATTGCTCTTTAGACGCTACCGCAAGTGTGCCGCCAAAATAGCCACCTCAATTATATAGTCGTTTGGGTGGGATAAACATTACGATATGTGAGCTTGCAAGAAGTTGCGTCTGTCTTTCTCCTTGAGAGAGAGAGAGAGGTGGATGCAGGTAGAAGGCAAGAATGGAGGAGAGGCACCTGGATCTTGTTCTGGTTCCGTTGGGTGTGTTGGTGATGACGATCTATAACCTATGGCTTTTCATCACCATTCTGCGCACCCCAAAACGAACTGTTATAGGCCTCAACGCTATTAGCCGGAGACAGTGGGTCATCTCTATGATGGCAGTAAGTTTCTCTCTCTCTCTCTCTTTCATTTATCTGAATGGTGGTCAGTGGTTGGCAGGAGGTTATGGAATTCGCTCTTTAGTAAATTTAATTAGCAGAAAGGTTTCATCTTTTGCCATGTGGAAACTGGAAAGAAGATGATGTGGCAAATCCAAACCATCTATTAAACAAGTGATTTCACTCCCCTTATCAAATATTAATCCTTATCATCGATTCCATATCCCACCATATATTGCAATTTCTTTCTTGTGCTAATTAATATAATACCTACAAGAACCAATAGAAAATTGGTTTTGAAGTTGATGATGAATCCCACTTCTCTTCTTAACCTGATGGATTGATGGGTACCATGAATCTAAAATTGTCTCCAATTTTCCAAGGATCAGGGAGGGCTGATCAAGCTGAAACTGGTGTATTATATAATATCTTCGATGTTAATAAGCTTAATTATTAGTGTTGGTGTTCATCAATGATAGAAGATCCTAGTCATGCCAATAAGCGTTAGCTTGATCGAGATGCAAACACAGCAAGTAATAGTATAAGTATAACAATATCTGCAACAAATTTTGTTAATTAGGATCCACAAAGCAACGGCATGTTGGGGGTTCAAACGCTACGAAACAGCATAATGGCATCTACATTACTAGCAACGGCAGCCATAACTCTGTGCTCGATCATCGGCGTCTTCGCCAACAGCACAACAAGCACATCCAACTCGGCAGCGGACCTGATTTACGGCAACAAGACACCCCTCGTCACTTCCATCAAGTACTTCACCATCTTAATCTGCTTCCTTGTGGCTTTCCTCTGCAATGTGCAGTCTATTAGATACTACGCTCATGTTAGCACATTGATTACAATGCCCACGTTGAAAGGCAGAAGAGAATCGATTGCCTACGTTGTCAGAAACTTGAATCGCGCAAACTATTTCTGGTCCCTTGGATTGAGGGCTTTCTATGTGTCCTTCCCTCTCTTCCTTTGGATTTTTGGGCCCATACCCATGTTTGCTTGTTGCTGCATAATCACCTCTACGCTTTATTTCTTGGATACAGCCACCACTGCTACCACCAAGTTTCACACTTCTACTTTTACGGATATGATGAGATTTGATGACATTGAATCCGCCTTTTAAGGATGTGCATTAATTTTAAATGCATGGTGGTCATGGTGTGGGTTGCTTCTTTTGTAATTTCTATTAATTCTCCATTTTATTTTCTTGTAATTAAGGAAGTGTTATACCTATATGATTCAACCTTTTTTTTTTTTTCTTTTATGAAGAAGAGGAAGATTTTCAAACCGTCGTGGACCATTTAGCCGGAAACTGGTTAAGGTACCTGCTCCATTTCACCCCGAATCGCTATTTCGCTATTTTTCCAAAAGCCAACAATCCACTGATCCAGTGGGTGAACCATTAATCCATTCAATCCGGACAACGGGTTTTAGGCCAAATTTTTATTTTAGTTTTTTTTTTTATTTTATTTTGAAAAACACCAAAGGATTTATTCATTTGAACTGGATAATCATACTGTTGACCTGAAAGGGATGGTCAAAATAGTTTCGTTTTTGAATTGGTTTTTATAATATTGATATTATCATTCAATAAGGAGGTATTTGGTACAGTAGTATTACCTTGCTATTGCATTTTGGATTGATCGATAGGAGATATTTTTCTACTAAAAATGTTTTGAATTGATCAATCCAAATTATCATTCTTATCTAAAATGTCAAATTTGACATTTATTGCAACACATATTTCTTACAAATTTGAATTGATCAACTTAGCTTAGCCAGAGACCGGAGTGATACCATGTAGGTGTCAATTGGACTGGATTTGGTCCAATCTGATCCAGTCCAATATGAATCCATTACAAATAGACCACTAAGATCAGGTCCAATCCAATCCAATTCAATAAATATTTTGGACCACTTTGAATCGGTCCAATAATGTTTGGACCATCTAATCTGTTCAAATTTGTTTTTAAATTAATTCTAACTCAAATCTGATCCATTGGTTGCTTATGCTTTTTATCTTCCATCAATGGATCAGATATTAGCTCAATCAAACCCAATCCAGTATAAATTTATTATGGATAGATCAGGTCAAATCCAATGCAATAAATACTTTGGATCATTAAGTCTAGATTGGTCCAATTCAATATATGTCTTGTCGGTCTGTTCAATCCGTTTAAATTTTGGTTCGGAGGGGTCCAACCCAAAACCGGTCCATTAACACCCCAACGCCAATAACGTCCGTAATAGTGCTCTCCAAGGTAAGGTAATACCCATTTTGTCCCCAGTTTGGTCCATGTGGCATGCGGCATGTGGCATTTCCTAAGTGAATGCCAATTTTGGTTATATCATTTATACTTTTATTGAAAAAAATATTAATTGTAATTACTCTTTTACCCACACCCCATCCTAATTTATCATGCAGATGAAACTTCAAAACAGACAAGAGAGGTATTCCCAATGCAAGCATTTGCTGTCCTCTGACCCCACATTACATGTTAGCTCATACAAACCCGAATTTTCTACACTTGGTTTGGTGTGTGTCAAGGTGCATTACTAAACGTTACACTTTGCATGCTGCCCAGTTCACATGTGCGGGTCATAATAAGTTTCCTTGGTTATTCTTTAATATTCCATTTTTTGAAAATTCAAAAAAAGAAAAAGAAAAAGTGAAATAAGGGACTTTTGACTTCGAGATGGAGAAGAGAGACAATAAAACAAAGAAAATAATTTAAATAATATTTTCAAACTGTCGTTGATCCAAATGGTTAGACCATTCAGCAGAATCATTGAAGCAATTGGTTCCATTTTACTCTAAATTTGGTCCCTACCAAAAAACCATTGAATTGGTTAGCCACTAATCCAGGCGGTTGTACCATCAACCCATTTGACCCATTCAACGGTTTTGGCTGTTTTTTATTTTAATCATTTTTTTTTTAATTTTTTGTTGGAATGGACCATCTATTTGAACTGGATGATTGAACTATCAACCCGAAAAGCAGTGGTCAGAACGGTTTCGGTTCTGGATCGGTTTTTAAAACCTTGATTTTAAAGGCCAAACTCTAGACAAATGGACACCATTATCAGTGATGATTGTAGACCTATCTTTCTTCAAGTATCAGTTCGCTTTTCGATAAGTTACTTACCTAGGTAAATGCATACCTAGGTAGTATTTCCCAGTAAAGACTTATTTGGATAGGTGCATTTATCCTTGTTCTTTTATTTCTCATGTAAATAAGGCAATGACCATTTTAACCATAAAAAATCAATTATTCAAACTTAAAAGGGGCGTTTTTGTTTCATTCAAGTGTTGGCAACTTCTCCCCTGATGGGAAAATTATTTACCCACCTAGGAGGTGGGTCGAGTGAGTGATACCCAAGAAAACAAACTTTCTCTAAACCCACATAAATTTGAAAAAAGAACATGAGTTGTTTGATCAATGAGATTTTGATTCCCTTTGACCAACTTTCCTCCTCTCAAAATCCAAAAAAAGCATGCCCCCCAAATCTCAACGAGAGTCGAAAAAACATTTGTAAGAAATAAATTTACACTCTTCAACCTTTCATCAAGGGCACAGTGTACCAAGACGCCTCCATTCTTCAAATCTGGATTTTCTGCATTCTTCTTCAACCTTTGACTCTCAGGCCTCCATTCTTCAAATCAGTCAGGCAAAGTCCATGGTCCTTAATCTCATGAAGATGGAAAATCCTAACAGAAAGGTGACTAAAAAATAAAGCCTGATAAATACTTGTATTATTGCTAAAAAATAGTATGTATAATTGCTACTAAAAATTGATGAATATCTGATCCTTTTTTTTCCTTTTTCTTTTTGTTTGGGGTTCACATTCCAAACAACTAAAGGAAAAAAAAGGAATGATAGACCCCTTCAAAGGATGGCTTCCATTGACCAAGAATCCCATGTTCTTTTTTTAAGATTTATGTGGGGACCAAGGAAAGTTTATTTTCTTAGGTAAGTGATACCCATCTCCTAGGTGGGTAAATAACTTTCCCACTTAGGGGAAAAGTCGCCAACACTTGAATGGGACAAAAGTGCCCTTTTTAATAATGGACTTTTATTGCTAAAATAGTCATTGCCTTATTTACATAAGAAATAAAAGAACATGGGTAAATGCACTTACTGAGAAACACTTACCCGAGTAAGTGCATTTACCTAGATAAATAACTTACCGAAATGCGAACAAGGCCTTAATGCTATCTAGGTTTTGGTTTACATTGTCTTGTTTCGTTTACTTTCTCTTCTCTTGAACTGGTCCTTTTTTTATTTTCTTCTTTTCTTTTTTAAGTTCAAGAAAATAGGATAAGAGGAAAACGGAGAAAACTTTTTGTTTAATAAGACCAACACATGTGAACCAGGGCAGCATGCAAAGTTGTGGCATGCCTAAACATGATTTCATATAGAATCGTTGTTAAATATACCCACAACGCATATTTAAGGTGATGTTTGAAAAGTCTTTTTTGAAAGATCTTCTAGAAGATCTGACAACCAAAAGATGTACTAGGCTTTTACATAAAGATCTTAGCAACCCACAGACCATTTGGTTGGAGGTGTGTCTTTCTACGTGAAGACGAGACAATAAAAAGTGAAAAAGTTCCATTTGGAGATTCTCGAAAATAGTCCAAAATGGGCTTCCCATGTCTTTTCAGGATAGTCTTTTGGCGACTAGACCTTCTCACAATCAAACGGGAAAAGACGAAAACACAAGCTCATGGGCTTCTAAACAGTCAACAGCTCGTAAGGAAAAATGTCCCAAACACGCTAAATGGGAAAAGATGAAAACTCAATCTTGTAAAAGACTGTCATAGTGTAGTTGAAGACATGGGAATGTAAGTGAAATTCTCTCATGAATTTGGAGAAGCCAACCCAGCAGCTCTGACTGATTGGCTGTTAATGAGACTAGAAAATGGGCCCTTAGAGTTCAAGTGGGCTAGATGGGTTAGAGGCAAAAATATGCACTCCAGATTAAGCAACCTATCATGAGTGAACACACCAACATTATGTAGAAATAAGGACTATAAAGGACCCACGTTTTATGTGTACACAATGTTAGCATATTCACTAGTGATAAATTGTTCAACTTATTGTACATGACTATTAATGCTTGTGCCGATTGTTAGGGTTCTACCTGGCCCAAGGTTCAAAGTATCGGAAACGTAAGGTGTATCAGAACGATAATTTTAAGAGACGTATTGGGATACGCTTTGGATATATATGGATACGGACGAAAAATCAAGATATGCATAAATATGCTAAAAAGCTTAAATAAATCCTAAAAACTATATTAATAACGATAGTTACAAGTTTTAGATGATTGTAAATAAGTTATTTAAAAGTATGTAATTTAATGGTCTATATAAAATTCAAGATATCAAGACACACTTACTAACTATTGACAAATGATGGAATAACTAAAACGTGAAAAAACAAGAAAAAACTAAAATGTATATTGATATACATTAGTTTTAAAATAATCAATATAATTTATCTTAATATTTATTAATACATAAATTTTAATAATTAATTCTAACATTTATTGATAAGCATACACTAAGAAAAAGAGAAAAATTACTTAAAAATAAAAATGCATAACCAAATAGCAAGCAAATGGGCGTGGCTTAGTGGTGAATCTCTAGTTCTTAAAGCCTAATGTCTAGTGTTCGAATCTTGAATTTAAATTTAAAATTATGCATTAATTATAGGAGTAATTAACTAATTAATGAGAGCGAAATACATTTAAATATAAGAGTAAATATATAATTAATGAGAATTAATTCAGCATTAAATATAATTTAATGAAATTAATGAGAGAGAAGGGGACTTGTATCAGGCTATCGGTCCGATACAGACCAATACATACAAAAAAAAACGCTACAGATAATTTCTATATCGGCCGATGATCCAATACGTTACAACTTGTAATGTTGTTCTTTTTCAGTTTTTCTTACCGAAAAGAAGACATGAGAAGATAGAAGCTATCTGTTACTCTTTTTTCAAATCCGACTATCCTGGATTACAACTTACATCCGATTAATAATTGGATTGGATAATTATAGTTATATAAATTATATTTATTTAGCATATATAAATTAAAAATAAATATTTTTTTTTATAATTTTTTATCATTATAAATACAATAAGTAAGATGCAGTAAGTATCTATTTGGGAGGGCTTTGGGACGTGGATTTTGATGTCCTGAGCTGCGCCCCGCATGAAACTCATGCTATGCTTTTCATAGAAAACTGAAAAACCAATATTGATGTTCTGAAGTCCAAACACGAAAAACACGACTGTAATCTAAGTCCAAATTCAAATTCCCAAACGAGCTCTACATCCAAATCAAACATATCGGATTTCATATCCTTGTCATAAAAGCAATCAATCAAACATTATACGGTGCGAAATGGTGATGAAAATCCATAGGTTATAGCTCTACAGTTGAGGTAGATCGTTGTCAAACATTCTAATCTTATCCTCTTAACCTGGTAGACTTTGACAAACAAAGTATATCGTTGTCAAAAATTTTTTTTAGGTAGATCCATTGACAACTTACGTGCATTCCACTATTGTAATACAGATCAAAGTGTAAATGAACCTTGTGGCAATTTAGGGTTGATAATTCAAAAGCTACTATTATTGATTAAGGTCAATAATAATAATAAAATATTCAAAGATATGGTATTCTAGTTTACTTTAGCCACAAAGGGGCCCTCAACCTCTTTAAAACCTTATTGACTGAATTTATAAAATGATAAAATTTTCAGTTCGGCCACTTGGCTATTATCAAAAGGCTTCTTATTTCTTCTCACCAATATAAATAAATAACCCCTTAATTCATCCATGTGATAACAACAAACAAGGCTCCTAATTTCTTCTCACCAAAATGAATGAATGAATAAATAAGTAAATAAATAAATAACCCCTTAATTCAACCATCTGACAATGTTGGGTTGGTACTTGAGATGGAGATTAACTTGTTGACTTAAAACATAATTTATATTAATATTTTTTTACTTTTTCTTGGAGAGGTGTTTGTTGTTGAGAACACATGGCTCAACAAATTAAAGTGCTCACTCCCCAATATTAGTTTCCAAAGCCAAACTCCATCAACTGTAATTTATTGCATTGTAATGCACACCATATTGGGTGAATCAAGCAGAACTGCAAATGCCATATTTGATTTACTTAATTTTACATAATTTAATTTGGAGCACTATATGACTAATGAAGTGAATAAAGTAGATTAAGAAGAAACGAGATTGGTGAAGCATGTCTTGTTGATGTCATGGGATTTATATAAACAACAGTCTTTTTATTGCTTTGGCTGCATTTGGGTTTATACCTTAACATGAAAAATAAAAGTAAATAGTTAAGACCACTTTTGTATTAAAAAGTCTTACAAAAAAATAAAAATTAAAAGAATTGTCATTTTTCTATAATTAATTATCCCTTTTTGAGAAGTATTTGTTTAATTTCTCAAGTCATTTCGTGTGGAACCAAATAATACTTGTAAAGGAAAAGTAGCATTTTTTTTTTCCTTAAATGATTCATTTTCCTTCATTTCACATTCAACCAAACAGACCCTTTATGCAAAAATAGCTTGAAGGCACACCGGAATCTTCCCAGAACATTAGCAAAAACGTGTTATTGGCAACATGATTTCTTTGCAATACAAAATACAAAACTGATGTTAACAAGAGTACACTTAATTAGCCAGTTGGCATCCTAGCTAAGACTTGATAAACCTGGGATTTCAATTGTAATATATCTGATATGAGGGAATAAACGAAATCAGCTTCATGTGCTGCTTCTCTATCCGTACGGCCAGCTTTGATTCTTAAATCAAGAAGCAACTCTGACATAAACCCAAGATTCCTGGATCCTGCCCATGAACCAGATTATAAAGAAAAGAAAGATGAAAAATCAACAATCCCCACATAAAGGGTTTCTTGGCTAATACCCTATTTGAAAAAAAAAATCATAGAGGAACAATATGTGGGGTCCTGATATGATAGTTCCTTTTGATTTTGATATAGAAACCTAGCTTGTGACCCTGAAGCCGTATTGGCTTAGTATTTTTTTTCCAGAATAAACTCAGAGGGATTTAATGTATCGATCTCTATCTCCGCGTGAACAGTAGCTGCTGCATCCTCATTTTTAATTTAATTACGCATTTGCAGGCTGACTTTGCTTTTGAATGAGCCAGCTTGTTAATATCAACATTTAATGCTAATCTTGTGCAAATTGAGAAATGAAGTGTTATGGACTTGGATATAAGAAGGAAAATGTGTAGATGTATCCATATATATATGAAGCATAATTTTTAGCTTGTTTTGGTAAATGAGTTCACAGTAAGTAAGACTTAATTAGAGCTTGAGAGAGATCTAGAGAGAGAGAGAGAGAGATGAAAGAGGAAAAGCTGGATGTGATTCTGGTTCCTTTGGGTCTGTTGGTGATGGCAATGTATAACGGGTGGCTGTTAATAACCATCCTTCGCACCCCAACGCGGACTGCCATAGGTCTCAACGCAGTGAGTAGGCAACAATGGGTCATTTCCATGATGGCTGTGAGTCTCTCTTTAGTCCCCTCTCATTTATATTGATTGATTGTGAAACCATGCATATATATATATAATACATACAGATAAGCTAATCGATGGAGATGGACATTCATATTTCAGGATCCTGCACATAATGGCATGTTGGCAGTTCAAACAATTCGTAACAGCATAATGGCATCCGCATTACTAGCAACAACAGCCATAACTCTATGTTCGATCATCGGCGTCATCGTCAACAACTTATTGGTTCATGGCAGCAGTAAGACTTATTCCCTCTTCTACACAGTCAAGTATTTGGCCATCTTGCTCTGTTTCTTTGTTGCTTTCATTTGCAATGTGCAATCTATTCGGCATTATGCCCATGTTAGCTACTTGGTCACAATTCCGGCATTGAAAGATAGAATAGATTCAATTGCTTACATGGCGACCAGCCTCAACTGGGGATGCTACTTCTGGTTCCTTGGATTGCGTGCTTTCTACATTTCCTTCCCTCTCTTCCTTTGGAATTTTGGGGCCATACCCATGTTCGCTTGTTGCTGCTTGATGCCCTGTATACAGTATTTCTTGGATACGACCACCAGTCTTACACGGAGCCTTCATGGTTCTTGTTTTGGAGAGGGGATGGTGAGAATGGATGATGTTGAATCATCTACTCACCCGCCTTTGTTGTCCCGCACTTGTAATATTGTTTATTAGTTAATTAATTAGTTGATACCCTGCTTAGAGCACATGGAGATCGAACTAGCTAGATTTTGTTTGTTTCATTAATTAATTATATATTGATTTCTATGTAAATTTCATTTCAAATGTTCCTTGTGCTTTTCCTACTTGGAGAGGAAGAAGAAGAAGAATCCAATACTCGTACTCCTCGGCTGCGGCGATCTGTTTATCGTATTCTATGACACTCCATTACAGCGTTGTTATGGTGAATGTCAATGGAAGCCAGAAATTGATATGGTCACAGACGTCGTAGTAACCTCCGACTAAGTCCACCTATAATCATGATCTCCGATATAATTTCATTAAAAACACTCACAATGAGACAGAGAGAACTATAGAGGAGAAAGATGAAGAATTTGGGTTTTCATGTCCTTGTTCTAAGCCCATCAATGAGGCCGGAATGGTCTTGCTAGCAGGCAACCCACCGATCGCATCTGTGGTAATCGTCCCCGACGTTGAGATTCAAAGTAAAGCAAGCGCATCTCTGTAATCGAAGGCTCAAGCGGTGGCAAATGTCACGGACACCATAAAAGTTTGGAACTGCTGAGAATTCAAATTTCTTTTTTTGTTCCTCCATTGTCCCTTCTCTCCAAAGAACTTCCAAGTGCCCGTTTGGTTCATGGGAATAAATGTTTGGAATCGGAACTAGAAATCCCATTCCCATTTCTGGTGGAATGGCATTTCCCGATTTAAGAAAATGGCCATTCCCTCCCCTCTCATTCTGATTCCTGTGTGAACAAAATGGAGTATGAGAATAGATCATTCTGATTTCAATTCTAAATTCGATTCTGACTTCAACTGTAGATCAAATGGATTAAAGGGAACTGTTTGATTCACAGTTGGAATCGGAATCGGAATCGGAATGATCTATTCCCATAATCTCTTTGGTTCTGGCAGGAATAATATATATATTAAAATTAGAGGTGCTATGTCAGCACGTCTCTTCTTCCCCCACCCCTTTCCTAATTTCTCAAATTTTTGAATTTTCTTTTCTTTTTTTTTTTTTTTAAATCCACGTGATATGCAGCTCTCGTCAATCAAAAGTGGTAGACGTTTGGACTTCCAAAATGTCTTCCGTGCCATTGATTTAGTGTTCAGCGCATCTCCCATCTACCAAGTAAGAGACCTTTCTTCTTCCACTACTATTATCATGTCTCTTGAGAAAAGCATTTCTTAGAAGAAAAATAAAAACATTAAGAAGAAATCTCCGTGCATGTAATGGATGCAGTGCTCACCTTGATTATGGCCATGAACGGGTCTAGCACATCAGGGGTGCAGGTTCTAACTTCATTGATGAACATCAATGGAAATGTCCACGAAGTAATTGGCGGTTAGATTATTTAGATCAATGTCAAACTTGCAGAGGACTAGAGAAGAAACGTCACCATTAATTATTTGTTTTCTATATAGCTATGACAGATAGAGAGCATTTGTGAAGATAACGGGAGCATTTTGTGAAGATAACTGTTTGAGAATATAATACTCAAAATGGTTTATATTCCAAGTTTATTTTCCATTCACGCTCCTTTGCCTTAGAATGCTTTTTTTTTTTTCTTTGGTATGCTACTGAACTATAAATGCATATTGCGTAGATCGTTTTTTTTTTTTTTTTTTTTTTCTCAAAAAGCCATTGATCACATCTGATTTCTCCTTCTATCCTATCAATGGTCAAGTTCTATCCATTCTTCTTTTTATTTTTGAAGGCATTTCATATTTGCTCTCATCAATGTTTTTTCTGTAAACTGGCCCCGGGTTTATGAGATTAAGAAGGGAAATTTCTGTGTGAAGTTCATTTGTTGGAGCATAGCCACAGTCTCTGTTGTTATTCCAGTCTGGTTCTACGGCTCTCCTTCATTTCCTTTCTATAACGTTTTGGTTAGTGTCATCAGTTTCAATTGGTCTTCATTGATTTTCTTGGCTGATTCTCATCTTACGTCAACCTCTATCCTCCTCATCTTCTTTCTTGTAGATTAAAAAAATGGTTTTTCTTTCCTTTCTCTATATTTGTATTTAGTTGGAGATCAATGTCAATAGCTAACCTCGAGATTTATCATATAAAGTGAGGATGAAGCTTCATTGATTGTTGGGCATAGCAGATGATCAATTGAGGTTTTCGAAAGATTTTAGTTATATATGAGCAATCTCATTATTTCAAAACGAAGGGAACCATGTACAAATAGATGGTTAATGAAGGGAACCCACGTCTAAATCCGTGGCTAATGAAGGGAAGAATGCCCTTATGCTATGCTCTTATGCATTTATTTGGAGACGTTTGCATTCTTGAATGAATTAAACTAAGAACGAAGCAAACTATGAAGAAAAAAATCTTCAAAGAGAAGCTTGGACATACAAAGGCGAAAGATCATTCGTTGGGGGAAAAGATGTCAACTACATGCCATAAATGGCAATCTGCAAAAACTGTCAAGAAGAAGCATGAGCTTCATCTCTAAATACTACAATATCAAGCATTGGTGGGAAGAAAAGTGAGAGAGACACAAATGGAGAAGACCACAAGATAAAAACTATAATAATTTAAAAATAGCTAAATAATTATTAATCTTATCAAGATAAACATGTCTCTACTTTGAAATTGGGCGGTCCATCTTAGCATGTCTTTCTAAAGCAGTTAATAGAATTAGCACTTTTCCTGTTTAAAATATTTGGAAACAATCCTTTTTTAAACGAAGGAAGCATCTTGGATGTGTATAAGGGTCAAGCCCATATAACTTGCCACCTGTCCCCATATTTCAAGGATCAGAATTCCAAACCCCAATTGGTTAAGTCCAAAGAAAAAACATTGGCTACAAATCAGCATTTCTATAAGGTGAGAATACAAGATCACTTATTACCAGAGTGAGAGTGTAGGGATGCAATTTTTATTCTTTTGGTAAAATACAAAAATCTGTCTTGAAGTTGAAGTTTCTGACAATTATAAAAACCTCTACTCTAGTTTTATTTTAGCAAAAATCTCACCAGAACTTTTAAAGATCTCGACAAAAGCCGGAACAACGTGAAATCCTTCCTTCGATCTCCCCCACTGGTTTTTTTCGTTGATTTCTTCTTCTTCTTCTTTCTTTCAAGTTTCAGATTCAGATGCAGATGAAGCCATTATTAAAACATTACTTCGTTCTTTTCTTCAATCCCTCCAATTGCGAATTCCAAATCCTCAAGAACTAAAGCAAGGTAGTCTTCGGTTTTCAAATCTTCTCCTTTTTGTCTTGATTTTTGATGAAAGGAAATTTGGCCCGACCTCGCGATCGTCCGACACGTGGCAAAGGCAAGTAGTTCGGGACAGTAGAACACCCAAAGCGAACATCGGAAGCAAGTCCAAACTCACTACCAAGCCCGAACTCCAGACCGTTGTACTTAGTCCGAGCTCCCTGTCAAAGGTCCGAGCTCCCTAAAGCCTGAGCTCCCCCAAGTCCGAGCTCGGTACTAGGAGCCCGAGCTCCCTAAATCCGAGCTCCCTACTAGGAGCCCGAGCTCCCTGTTAAGAGCGAGCTCCCTGTTAAGGGTCCGAGCTCCCCAAGTAAGAAC